GTGCCGGGCAGGGCGTGGCGGGGCGTGGCGGGGCCCTGCCTCCCCCTCGGCCAGCCCTACACTGTCTTAGCAGCTTCTCGACGCGAGAGTGAGAGAGACAACGAGAAGAAGGGGAGGAAGAGGTGTGAGGCGCGCCCATCAGTTGGCGAACACCGATATATCAAGACAGCGTCCTCTAAGTGGAGACTGCCAGGCCGCTGTCAGTCACAGGGGGTGGGGCACTTAAAAACTTTGTCGCTTTTTACACTCGACTGGGCCGCTGGGCGGCGCTAGGCGGTCGGCTGGCTGGGCGTGGGCGCGGGCGGTCGGCCCCAGGCAGCCCAAGGCCGGGCCGGGCGGGGTGTACTGACAGATTATCGAAGCAAGCAGGCAGCATGCTGCAGCAGGTCAAGGGTCGCTTTGACACAATGTCGCACTTTTTAAACGTCTTTCGAGGTGTCCGGAGACGTTGCTTGTCGGTGGGGCGCGGCAGGGTCGGGCGTGTAGGGGCGCTGCGGAGGCCCCCGACGTGCTCCAGAAGCCCATTGAGTCCTAATTACGCAAGGAGGCCGCCCAGGCCGTCTCGGTGGCGGTGTGTACTGGCTCGGGTACTTGTCTGGCCCCGTCCAGTCCAGTCCGTCTGGACCGAGGTCCGCCCCGCCCCGCCCCGCCCCGCCCCGCCCGAGGGGCGTCTGGCCCTTTGACGACAGGACGGCGAGGTCAGTCCACCCTGTTAAGCCCTGACGAGGAGGAGACCCGGTACCCACTGCCGGACGCACGAGGACGCGCCGAAAATAGCCGCCGCCTCCTTGGCGGTGCAGAGCAAGGTCCAGACCTCCACAGCAGGGCGTCATTGCGGTATGGCCCCACACCTTGCTCTCGTCATCCTCACTGCAGCCCGCGCCGCCCCGCCCCGCCCCGCCCCGCCCCGCCTTGCCGGCTTCGCAGCGGGCCTGCTGCAATTTCCACCCGGACTATAAATTTGATGCGCGCGTAATCCTGAAGGCAGAGAGCGCGGCAGAGCGGCGTAAAGTCTCCTTATATTGGAGTAGTGACGTGCCGGGATATAAGCAAAGTGCAGCGCCCCGAGAGCACGCCCCCTCTTTTCTTCCTCCTCTCTTTTCTCTGCATCCTCATACTTCATCTGCTTTCGTCCGAAATTTCACCTGAAAATGCATCATGCTTTTACTGGCGCTAAAAAAACACACGGACCCCACGGCTGACCGACCCCCGGCGCAGTTTTGCAGCCAGGGCGGCAGCGCCGCAAGCGACCTGAAGCGACCCCCGTGGCCCAAGCACTTGTTGTTCTCCATGTGGCACTGGACCTGTGTATGTACCATCCGACACGGCGGCCGCGCGCAGGAAGGACCTAAGTGCTTTGTTCCGTCTCACCTTGCCTCACCGCCACAACGGGGCCACAAGACAAGTGGCAAACACACACACATACACACACACACACACACACACACACACACACACACACCAACGCGCAAAACCGCGCGGGGGGCTGAAGCGCTCCCGCACACTCCGCTCCGCGCCAACTGCTGCACAAGTGGGCCTTTCTGATGCTCTTGATGGCCTTGTCGCGAGGCTGCTCGCGAGGCTGCCGACGGCTGGAGGCACGGTGTGGACGGGTGTCGCGGCGCGCTGCGCTGCGCTGCGGGTTTGACTCGTCCTGATGGAGGAAGTGCCGTTGGGTCGCGTTTGCGGTCTTCGCGGCACCAACTTGCTCCTCAGCGTGCTGCCTGCCTGCGCTGTGCCTGCGCCTGCCCGCGCCCCTCACGGAGCTCGGAAGACCCTCTTTTCGCGGGGCACTGCAGACGCGGTGGTCGCGGGGATGGCGCCTGGCTGGTTCACGACAATACGACCCTCTCTCTCTCTCTCTCTCTCTCCCTCTCTCTCTCTCTCTCTCTCTCTCTCTCTCTCTCTCTCTCTCTCTCTCTCTCTCTCTCTCTCTCTCTCTCTCTCATTCCGAGGCGCGACGGAAGCGAGCTGCTTTTTCTCTTTTTTTCGTCGCCATTTCGAACGCACTTCTCGCGGCCCCGGCGAGCGCTGCGGGGTTTTTGCCGACGCCACCTTCTGCTGCTCTCACGGCTGCCTGTGGATAAGGGTATCAACGTACCGCGCCGAACCATTAGCGGGGGAAGCTGAACCCTGGGAACCCTAGCGACCCTGCCAACCCCGGGGGAGTGGGTTCACCTGGTGCGCTGCTAGCTGACGCTGCGTGTATGCCCCTGCATTGTGTTTGCGTGTGTGTGTGTGTGTGATAGAGTGTTTGTGTTGGTGAGTGTGTGACTATGTGTTTGCGGAGGTGCTCGTCCGAGTAGTCAGGCTTCATTTGTCGAGCCCTCCACCCGTACAAGTAAAGGCTTTTAACCACAAGGGTGAAATACACTCACACGCATACACACACACACACTTCACGCTCACAAACTAAATGTAAAGCCCCCAGCGTAATAGGGTGCTGGTGCAGGCCACCGGTGCGGCCCCGCCCCTTTCCGGCATTCCAACGGCAGGCGGCGGCCAAGAATGATAATTCTTGGAGAAAAGTGCCGATTACACTAACGACGGAATCGAGTTTGAACTCGGCGAGGCGTGGCCGAGTCCGAGGCCTTGGCGCGCCTTGGCGCTTGATCCGGCATCCGGCCCGCTCGTTGTACTACACTGTTAGGCCCGGCAGCGCCAGCGCGCCAGCGCGCGCCCCACGCATAAATCTGGCCCTTACGCACTTTATCCATTTAGGGCCCCTTCCTTTTCACCCATGTTCTGCCTATTTATGTCTTTACTCCACGGCATGGCGACAAGCTGCGCCCGGAACGCCGGTCTTCCGTCATCGTCGTGCCCGCGGCCGCGCCAGGGCCGCGCCCAGGCCGCGCCGGCAGAGCGAGCGAGACAGCGTCTCTCTCTTTTGGCTCCGTACCCCCTTGGGCCACTCGCCCCCTTTCAGCATGGCTGCCAGAGGAAGGAGAGCGGGGGAGGGGGAGCGCTCCAACCCGACCGGTCCACATCCAGCCCGCTACATTCTGCCTGGTCCACTGATCACAGTGCAGCGAGATCGCATTTGCCCGACGAGACGCGGAGCTTCTTCTCCGCATTTTAGGCCCCTTTGTTGCTGTGTTCGTTTGCAGGTATTTCCCTGTCTGTTGGAAACCTCCTTTGCGGGTACCTTCCTTGTCTGCTGTAAACCTCAAACGCGCGGCTCTCGGGAATGTTTTTGCCCCGTTTTCAAAACTTCTCCTCGTCGAACGGCGGCGCTTCATGCACTCCGGTGCATTAAGGCAGCACGCCGGCCCGGCCCGGCCTGGGTCGCTGGCGGCAACGAGCACTAGGCCGTGTTGACACGGAGCAGCTTGTCCACAGCGCGGCTCTTAGTGGCCTGGAATCCGCGAATGGGTATAGCCACTTTGGCCTGAAGTGACCTGAAGGGACCTGTGGGACCGCCGTCGTGGAGCGTGGGACAAGGCAGGGGTCGGGCGGGCCTCTGGGGGTGGCTGTGCACGGCAGGGCTGTCAGGACTTTGAGGACGGGAAGGAAAAATATAGCTGCCTCAACTAATATGCATGCTGCGTATGCCAATATTCAGAAGTTGTAACACCTAACAAAATAGCTAGTGCAGCTGTAGTTTGGCTGTGCCACCTAAAATCTCCGGTGGCGCCATACCAGCCAATACATTAGCTGCCTCAGCTAATTTTTAGCTGGGCTAGCAAATCCATTTTTTTCCGTGGCCCGCTACATTCTGCCTGGTCCACTGATCACAGTGCAGCGAGATCGCATTTGCCCGACGAGACGCGGAGCTTCTTCTCCGCATTTTAGGCCCCTTTGTTGCTGTGTTTCGTTTGCAGGTATTTCCCCTTGTCTGTTGGAAACCTCCGTTTGCGGGTACCTTCCTTGTCTGCTGTAAACCTCAAACGCGCGGCTCTCGGGAATGTTTTTGCCCCGTTTTCAAAACTCTCTTCTCCTCGCGGCGCTTCATGCACTCCGGTGCATTAAGGCAGCACGCCGGCCCGGCCCGGCCTGGGTCGCTGGCGGCAACGAGCACTAGGCCGTGTTGACACGAGAGCAGCTTGTCCACAGCGAGGCTCTTAGTGGGCCTGGAATCCGCGAATGGAGTATAGCCACTTTGGCCTGAAGGGACCTGAAGGGACCTGATGGGACCGCCGTCGTGGAGCGTGGGGCGGGGCGGGGCGGGCCCTCGGGGGTGGCTGGCACGGCAGGGCTGTCAGGACTTTGAGGACGGCGCGGGGGAGGGGCAGCCCTTCTTTTTTCCTGCCTTCTGCATGCAATTGGCAATGCAAATGGGGCATTTGTTTGACAACTCGCGAGCTTGTGCCGTTGCTAGGGGTGACGCGGTGACGCGGCTGCTTTTACATTTGCCTGCGTGGTCCCGTGTCGGGCGTGGTGCCCCCCAACCGGCCCGGCGGTCGACCCTCGTGCAAGTACTTTGTGACCCGCTGGAGATCAAACGGTGCACAGAAAAAAAAGTTTGCGGAGCTGGTACTTGAACCCGCGTTCTCTTGTGTTGCAGGTGGCGAGCCATGGCGCCGTGACGGCCGTCCGCGATGACGCTGGCGATCGGGGCGAACAAGGCGTCCTTCCCGGACTACCCGTCCCAGCCGCCGCCGCCGCAGCAGCCGGCCGCGCAGGTGGTGGTGGGCCCCCTGGGGGGAGGCCTGGGTGGCCCCCTGGGGGGCTCGTACCTCCACCAGGCGCCCCCCTACGAGCAGCACCACCACCACGCGCTGCACCACCCGCACCACAGCACGCCGCCGCCGTCGTCGCCGTCGTCGACCATCACCACCGCGGCGGCCGCGTCCGCAGCCGGCAACTGCTGCTGCCCGACGTCCTCTTCGTCGTCGTCCTCGCCGTCATCGGGGTCCTCGGCCGCGTCGAGCCGGCGCGGCAGCCGCAGCAGCCGCAGCAGCCGGGGTGGCGATGACCTCGGCGGCGGCGGGGACGGCTCCGTGGCCTGGTACTGCTGCTGCTGCTGCGCGTCGCCGCGGGCCGGGCGCAAGCGGCGCTCCATGCTGGCCAGCGTGGGCGTGTGCGTGCTCGTGCTGGCCTACACGCTGCTGGGGGCCTTCGCCTTCATGGCGCTCGAGGGCTCCGGCTTCAGCAGCCGGCAGCCAGCGCCGCCCGACCCGGTGACGCGGGCCAGCGCGCCCGCGCACGACGAGCTGCGCACCAAGACCGTGGAGAAGCTGTGGAGCATCACCGAGGACCTCAACATCCTGTACAAGGACAACTGGACCCGCCTGGCCGCGCAGGAGGTGCTCCGCTTCCAGGACATGCTGGTGCAGAACATCAAGAGCGGCGTGGCGGTCAACGGCGGCGGTGCTGTGGCGGCGGCCGACGGCAAGGACCCCGCCAAGCAGGTCACCAAGTCCGTGACGACGGCCGCCAGCACCTACCAGCACCACGGCAGCCACCGCTGGACCTTCCCGTCGTCCTTCCTCTACTCGCTGACCCTCATCACCACCATAGGTAAGAGCGCCTTTCCCTGCTAGAGATAAGGACCTCTTGGTTGGCGCCGACAAGCACCGCAGGAACCTCGTGCGAGCAAGCGGAGCAAGCAGCGAGCAGAGCCAAACAAGTCGCGACTCCCCCCCGGGGACGCCCCCCCGCCCCCCCGCCCCGCCCCGCCCCGCCCCGCCCCGCCCCGCCCCGCCCCAGTCCCTCGCGGCGCTTCGGTGGAGCAGCCGTTGCGAATCCTTTTACCTACCGGTCCCCGATCGGTAACTTTTAAACTTGCATGAGGCCCCGTCATGCCTCAAGGAGCACGGGCCGGAACGCCTTTGTATCTCCTGGAAGAGACAATGCGACGCGGCGTGGCGCGGCGCGGCGTTCGCTGCAGCGTTAACTTTGCAGTGGGGTGGTCGGGTAGTCGGGATGCGTACCACAGCGTGCCGCCGTGCCGCCGTCCGCAGCGGAAGGGACGGGCTTGGCCGGGCCGGCCGGGACGAGGCCATGTGTGCAGCAGTTCCCCATCGTCAGCTCGGCCCGGCCCGGCCCGGCTTGGCCGGACTGCAACTTAACTTGCAGCCCTAAACTGTTCCTCGCCCCGTGCGAGCACTGCGAGTGGTGTGCGCTTCTGTCTGCTGCTTCCTCGGGCATTTCGCATCTCCCTCGTAGTTCTGCCAAACTGTCATGACGCCGGCTGCGCCAAGGGCTGCCGAGGGCTGCCGGGGGCTGCCGGGGGCTGCCTGGGGCTGGGCTGCGAGAGACGGGACGAGTCATGGAATCATCATTGTGGCGCTGAAACACCTGGGAGCAGCACCGCCCCGCCCCGCCCCGCCCCACCCGCCCCACCCGCCACCCCACCACCCCACCCCACCCCACCCCACCCCACCCCACCCCACCCCCCACCCCCATTCCAGTACGTCAATCTTATCCGCACTGTGTGCCCTCTCGTCCCAGACGCGCACAACAATACTCCGCCCCACGACGGACAGGGCCGCCAGTCTATTTGACGGCGCTCCGCCCCTAATTTCTGGCCCCTTAAAAGGGGTCGCAGGACGGGCGGAGTGGAGCGGGGCGGGGCGGGGCGGGCGGAGCGCACGGTGAGACAGTGGGCGTAGGCCGGACTGGGAAACCGAAACACGGAGGAATGAAAGGACAAAATTGGATTGCTAAGGATTCGCAAAAAAAAGGAAGAAAAGAGAAAGAAAAGAGGGTCCTGGACAAAGAAGGGATGGGGGTGGGTGGATTGCGATTCCGAGCGGAGGGGAGGGTGCGGCCCGCGCGATGTGCTGGTGCTCGGTCGGAGTCGTGCGAACCGAAGGGAACCGACGGGAACCGAAGGAAACCGGAGGGAAGCGCATCCCCACCTTTTTGCGGCATTTCACCAGATTTTCTTCCACATCGCAACACACCGCGGACACGCCGGTGGGGCCGGCCAGCGCCGCAAGACCGTCCCCTTCTTCGCCTGCTCCTGGCTCTCGGACGCCCAAAGCCTGCGTCAGCCGGCCTCAGCCCGCGTCAGCCTGCGAGACCGAGGGTAGGCAAGCCCGGCGTACGCCAGAGGGCCGGCACTGCCTACCTTGCAGGGGCCCGCCCTGCTTCTTCTGCGCAGCCCCCACCTCACTGGCAGTGTATGCATTCCACTCATGTGTGTAAGTGCTGCGTGTGTGTGTGTGTGTGTGCGTGTGTCGTTGCGGGGTCGAGCCTGGCTCGCATGGGGCTTTACTAGCTCTGATGGTTCTGCGTGATGTGTTGCTTGGGCAGCTTCCAGAAGCCATCAGAAGCCAGTGTGGACGTTTCGGATGACCAACTGCATCGCTCGGCCGTGCGTGTGGTTGTGTGGGTGGGTGTGTGAAGGAACGTGGTGGTGGTGGGGGCAGGCCTGCTACGCGGCGAACGAAAAACTACGTGCATCGTTATAAGAAAGAGGGTTCGCCGTGCCGCGGCGGCCGCGGCCACGGTTGGTTAGGTATTCATCCCGGCAAAAGTCAGTGACCTCACCTTCTTCTTTCTCTTCTCCTCCTTTTTTAAGTCACTCTCTCTTTTCTTCTCCCTCGCGACTTGATCCGGCCGACTGCCGTAAGCCTTTGCAGCAATTATTGCCGCGACATCCCCCCCCCTCTCTCTCTCTCTCTCTCTCTCTCTCTCTCTCTCTCTCTCTCTCTCTCTCTCTCTCTCTCCGCTCGTCTTCCGGAGGGATTCTGCTCCAGACAAGCGTATCGCGCGCCGCGGTTCTATTTTTTTCCCCGCACCCTCGCCGCACTGCTGGGCCACCGGGTCGACCGGGACCCCGAAATAGCCTGTTATGGCAATCGGCATCCCCACGCCCTTCTTCCTCTTCTTCTTCTTCTTCTTCTTCTTCTTCTTCTTCTTCTTCTTCTTCTTCTTCTTCTTCTTCTTCTTCTTCTTCTTCTTCTTCTTCTTCTTCTTCTTCTCGGCCGGGAACAGAGAGGCCATTGAGGAATCATGAGCGTCGCTAATTCCTAATTTCTCCCCGCACCCCCTTCGTTGCCTCTGCGCGACGGCTCGGGCGCCGCGATGCGCCGCCGTGCCTTCCGTCAAGTGTCACAATCGTCACAAAAGGAAGACGGCGAGGCGAGGGTCCTGCCTGCCGGGGCTGCCGGGGCTGCCGGGGCCCTGCGGCCGGAGTTAGCAGTGGGGTTATTCTCCAGGATTGCGTCGACTCGGTGCAGACAAACTAATTACAAGGAGGAGGAGGAGGACGAAGGGCTCGGCGAGGAGGTACCCCTGGAGGAGGAAGTGAAAGTTTTGGGAGGAAGGTTCCGCCGCCGCCGCGTCGCCGCGCCGCCGCGCGCCCCAACAAGACCGTTCTTTTCGCCTCTATGCTTCCCGAGACGCGTTGCCGCTGCACAAAACCAAACCCCTCCACTGTGTTGTTGTTGTTGTTTTACTTCCTGCACGTGACGCGCGCGCGCCTCGCCTCATGAACGCGTGAAAGAAATAATTTGTCGCAGTGCCGGAGCGAAGTTCGTGCTCAAACAATGCCCTGCTTCCCCTCGGCGGCGCTACCCGACTCGAGTACGTGTTCCAGGCGAACGCATTCGCGCCGTTCGACTACCCCTGCAGGTCTGCCTAGCTGGCTGGGTGGCCGGGCCTTGCCGCCGTGTCGACGGCCTCCCTCCAGGCCGACCGGAGCGAGACGTGCTAACGACTGGGGCTCAGCCGGTGTGAATGAAGACGCTCCGTCGCGGCAACGCGGCCAGGCGACGCGATGAGTCGCCGCGACCGTTGTTTCTTTCTCTGTTTCCGATTTGATTGCGACTGCACCGAGCCGCGCCGCATGGGACGTGGCAAGGACAACTCGCCTCTCTCTCTCTCTCTCTCTCTCTCTCTCTCTCTCTCTCTCTCTCTCTCTCTCTCTCTCTCTCTCCCCCCCCCTCGGACCGCGCGACACTCGCCTCGCTCGCGCTCGCTTGCCTGCACCCCGCCGCAGCCCTGGGTATTTGTGCCCTCTTTTATTCCGCCCACCTCCTCCCTCACCTGCAGAGCCAGCCAGAATAAATTGCGAGTCAGCCTTCGGCCGGAATGCGAGAGTCGTGATACCGGCCACAGTGTTGCCTGCTCGGCGCCAGGGTAACGCACCCTGCGACATGCGCGACGGCGCGTCCCAGCCGGCCCGGCCTCCAGCGTGGAGCCTCGATCCTGGAGCCTCCAGCCGCTCCAGCTCACGGAGGACGGTCAGATGGGGATAATGTGCCGCCACCCATTCCCGTTGGAATCGGAGGAACGCGCAGACTGCTGTCTGTCGGCTGGAGGCGCGCTGGAGGCGGACTGGAGGCGCGCTGGAGGCGGGCGAGGCGGCCCGGGCCAGGCTCACAAACTTGCCCTGCCGCCCCCCACGGCCCCACCCCGCTTGCGGTGCGGATGTTCGGGACGTTAAGGAGTGCCGCGAGGGGCGGCCCGCCCCACCCCGCCCCGCCCCGCCCCGCCCGCAAACAGCCACGATTGTCTCGCCCGGATTCCAAGTTACCGGCTCCTTGCTTATCCGGCCACCAGTCCGCCTGTCCCGTCGCCCCGTCGTCCGCCCGCGGTCCGCCCGCGGGGACGCGCCCAGTCCGCACCACCGTCCATCTCTGTGGGGAGGCCGAGGCGCAAACCACTTTGGATATTTGGCGCACGCCGCAATAAATTTGGTCATATTTTGCATATTTTTCTTTGTGGGGTAACATCATTGGTTTGTGAAATTCCCAGTACTCTAAGATTTTGCTTTGTTTTTTTTTTAACTGTCTTTATTATTGTTGTTACGTATTTTGCTGTTCTCGCCGCAGTCAATGATATTGTCAATATTCAGAAGTATTGACGCACATTCGTATTCCTTGTACGCGAAAAATAAACGAGTGAGTCCCTCGGTTTCCCCCTCCAGGGTGGCCAGGCGGATCGGAGCCGCGCCGCCACTATCTCTGCATTTTGGCTGCATCCGTGCCACCGCGCCGCGCCGCGCCTCGCCGTCACTTGTCTCGGACCGCTATTCGCCAGCACCATAAATCGGGCAGGCAGGGGCAGGGTAGGGGGATCAGGCAAGACGTGCGGGGAGAGGGGGGGCAGAGCGAGAGAGGCGGCACGCAGCGTCCTAACACACATTGCGTGTTCTCACGGGCCCACTCCACACACCTTGTCTCTCTCCCCCCCGCCCCTCCCCTCCGCCTGTCCGTCACCTGCAACCGTATTTTGTTGCAGGCGGCCTACACATTCCAGAGCGTGCGTGTGCGCCGGGGGGGGGGGGTGACTTTATGAAAATTGATGGCGCTCGGCGAGGATTTCGTCGGCACGCGTGCGATGACGTGATTGCCGTGCGTCACCGCGGATCTAATTTATGCGACGCGGCCGAATCTCGTAACAACGTAACAACAAACGCGTAACACACGACATTTTTTAAGAGGGGGAGGGGGCTTTTCTTCACAGAAGGCGCTTGATGGCAGCGGCGCCCGCGTCTCGAGACAAAAATAAATATGTAAAAATGGAGTCACTCTTGATTTCTCTCGCTTTGTTGTCCTCCGTCGTGT